TTTATTTAGAGATCTTATACATTCTAGTTAGGTGATTCTTTCATATACTGAATACATTTTAAGATTAAAGTTTATAATTGTTATGTGTAGAAATGCAGACTACTCTGATATAATTTTTAAATTAAATACCTCTAAATTCTTACAAATTTTAATAGAATCTTTGTAAATCTCCCTGTAGACATGCCATGTAGACATTTGAGTATTAGTCTCAGAAATGCCCATCATAGAGTTTGTCCTCTGGTTAAATCTCATTAAGAACATTTTAAACAAATGTAGCAAACTTGAGAAAGGAAAAATATAAAATATATGGTTCAAATTTTAAAGGAGCACCAAGAAGTGAAATGGAGCTGAATCTTGTGTTCAAGGATATTAAATTGAATTAAGGGATTAGTGACCTTGGGGCAAGATCCTACCCAGCTAAATTTAGGTCTAGGCGTGGTAGGACAAGCCTTTGTACTAGGAGGCAAAGAAAGCAGATCTCTGAATTCAAGGCCAGCCTAGAACAGAGCAAGTTCTAGGTAAAGAAAAACTTAAATCCAGGCTTGGTGGACCACACCTTTAATCCCAGTGTTTAGAAGACAGGCATCTAGAAGATCTTATGTTACAGGAATAACATAAGATTATTATGTGGCTCCTATGCCCCTTGGTCTCTAAGTACCTGCACTTACATGTACACATACACACACACACACACGTAATTAACAGTGTGCATGTAGCGATCAGAGGACAGCTTGTGGGAGCTGGTTTTCTTCTTCCACCATGTCAGGACGGGGGATCCAACTCAGGTCCACCAGCTTGACAACAAGCAACTTGACCTGGTGAGTCATCCCTCTAGTCCTACATGGACATTTTCAAAGACACATTTAATCATTAGTGGCAATGTTTTTCAAAGACAAGGTGTATAATCTCAAGTTGGTAGAGAATAATGGTTAAGATTGTTACATTGTGGGGGCTGGAGTGATGGCTCAGTGGTTAAGAGCACCACTGTTCTTCCTGAAGTCCTGAGTTCAATTCCCAGAAACCACATGGTGGCTCACTACCATTTGTAATGTGATCTGGTGCTCTCTTCTGGTGTGTCTGAAGACAGCTACAGTGTACTCACATACATAAAATAAATAAATCTTTAAAAAAAAAAAAGATTGTTACATTGCATCAGTCCCTTCCAGCACATGAAAGCCAGCCAATATGAATGAAACTTCCAGGTCAATACCAGCTAGATATATTCATGTTCTGTGACTCAAATATATATATATATATTTATATATGTATATATTTGATATATTTATATATAAATGTGTGTGTTGGCCTGTTGGTGTCTAGTCGCAGCATTGTTGCCTCCTTATAAGGTAGCTCCAGTGTCTGTGTCTGTGTGTGTGTGTCTGTGTAGAAAAGATTTTACAGTGGTAAGTAGGCCACAGGCCACACACATCCAAGAATATATGGGCAACACAAATTGGACTTGATGGGTAAAATAAATAAATAAGGACTCAAAGTTAATTCAGTGGGTAGAGAACACATTGTATGAAATTCTCAAAAAACTAGTTTTAAAAAGGTGATGTAAAAAGCAAAATACAAAGATCTTTATTTTGGCCTTTAGGCAATATTTCTTTAGTCCCTATGTATTTTTTTAGTCTTATTTCCTTTATGAAGTTGTGAGGCCCTTGGGAAGCAAGTCACCAGTCTTAGAACTTTTTAGTTTGTTTACACACCAAGAGGAACTTGCTGCAAGTTGGACTTAACGATAACACAGATGTGTGGCCTAATGTTTACCTTTCTGTAATTCTTATTTCAGCTACACAAATATATCCTTTGAACTAGATCATGGGAAGAATACTGCTACTGCTTATACGAATAAACCATTTTTAAGTTGCACGGTCATCTTTCACTTGCCACCATCTAACTTGTCTAAGAGAAGGCTCTTAGCAGCTGCCGTGACACATGCCTAATAATCGCAGCACTTGGGAGTGAAGGAGAAGGTTTGGGGTTCAAGACTAACCTGTGCTATGAGAGACTCTGTCTCAACCAGCAACATGGAGAGAAAAGAGCAGGCTTTTAATTTTTTTTAAACCACCTTATTAATATTATTTTGTATATGAGTGTATTGGCTGTTGTATGTCTGTTACCATGTGCCTGTTGCTCAGAAAGATCAGAAGGCATCAGATTCCCTGAATCTGGAGCTGTAGATGGTTGTGAGCTGCCATGAGGATGCTGAGAACTGAACCTGGTTCCTCTGTAAGAGCAGCCAGTGAATGCTCTTAACCACTGAGGCAGCCCTCTGATTTTTTTTTTTTTAATTTAGAGATATCTACTAGAAAACTTGTCATCAGCAAGAATTGAGCTGGCAGGTCATGGGACAGTACTGCATTTGTTTTTAAGTGCCATAGAATTAAGTTTTTTTTTTTAAATAAGGCATGTGCTTGCTGTACAGTTCCATCTCCCTCCTCTCTTCCCTGCCCCCTTCCTAAGCAGGAGGTAGTTGACTTTGTAGTATATTCTTCAAGGCAGATGTATATAGTTTATCTCTATGCTGAGGGAAGACGGAGACTAGAATTATATACAACCTGCTTTATGATGTTAAATAAGAGGATTGTGATTGTAGGTGTCCAAAGTTTGTTTCTCCGTTCTTTCCAAAAAGCATGAGATACAATTCATATTTTAAATGGCAGAATCACTTTGTCCTGCCATTTTAAAAGACAGCCCTGATTGATCAAGCAATGAAGGAAGTGTATTTTGTATTTTTTACAGGCTTAGATGTCTCCAAGCCTACATTTCAGTATCTGTGGTTGACTCATTAGCATTTAAATGGGAAAGTTGTCTAGGTGGGTTCTAGTGATTCTATTTGGTCTTGACAAATAGATGGTGTTGTTTTAAAGAAGAGAGAAAGTTGTGTGTCCCAGAAATTACTTGCAGAGGTCAGTATGGGTTCTAGCTGTCCCTGGGGCTCTGAGAAGTCCTGTGACTTAGAGACCGGTAGGCAGCCTTGGTGAGTGATCTTCCCTCCTTAGCTTCCCTGGATGCTGGGATTGCTGGCTTGCATGGGGAAAGGGGTGATGGAGGGCAAAAGTAAGTAGCCTCACCTTTTCCCCCTCCTCTCCTCTCCCTTGCTCTTATGTTTTATTTTATGAGACAGGGTCCTACTGTGTAGCCCTGGCTGGCATTGGACTTGTGGTAGTCCACCTCTGCCCTCCTGAACGTATTATTGCAGGTGCACACCAGAAATTCTTGTTTCCCTCTGTCCTTCAACGGAGGTCGGTGAGATAGCCATATCTGAGAACAGAGCATGGTAGCATTTCCTTTCTTGGAGCCCAGGTTAGGAAATAAAGCAGATTGAGGGGCTGGGAGCAGCAGAGCCCATCATAAAGAGAAGGAGTTAGTCTTCATGGTGAAATGAAGAGCTTCAGGGTGCTATGTGCCAGGTAGTAAACACCGTACCTGAGCAGAGTTACTCTGCCTCAGCCTTATGAAGTAAGGGCTTCTACATTCATTTTGCAGATATGCAGACCCAGACTGGAAAAACTACGTGTTTTTGTCTTTCTACAACATAGTGCTATGTCCTGGGGATACGTAAACAATGGAGCTGTATTGATCACAGTTTCTGGTCAGGGTCTGTCTTCCTAGAGGCTCCTTGTGATACATCATCACAAGGGACACACAGCTCTTGGCCCTCTTTGTGAAGGGCACTAAGCCCATACCTAGGGTCCTCACACTCAAGCCTTAATCTCAAAGCCATCTTACCTTCCATTACCAACACAAGAAAGATGAAATATGAACTCATGACCCAGGGAGACATTCCAATTTCAGTTTTCGTGATAGAAATGAAATGGTAGGTATTCCCACAGACAGTCCTCCCTCTTGGGCTTTTAGGCTCAGGGAAGGGAGTCATAGTCTGATGCAAAATACTTGCCATTGACTCAGTAGCGGAGGTGTGCACAAAACTGTGACATGGAATCTTTGAGTGGAAAGGCATCAGAGACATTTTGGGACTCCTTACTTTCCCCGAAGTAACTAATTCTGATGTTTTCCAACCTTCATAGGAATGTATCAAAGAACTGGGATTAGTTTCTCATAAAGTGATCCTTTTCCATCTCTGGGTAGCTTTCTTGTGGTGCCTGAGTATGGTCTATCACTTCTATCAGCCTTCATGTTCCCTCTAAACCTGCTGACCCCCTGCCCCTCACAGGAGTTAGAAGTTGTGCTTGGAAGCTGCTTTTCTACACAGAGAAGCCAAGAGAGGCTGTTTAGTGGTTCTGCAGCTTCTGCATCTTTGGAATGTAAAACCAAAGTCCTTATCAGAGGAGACCTTAGGAAGCCCAGGGTGCTTTTCTTCCAGTGGGGCTATCCAGTGACTGTCATACCAGTGACTCACTCATAAACTTACTGAGCAATTCTTCTCACCACCTGGAAGACTGGGGATTGAGGCAGATCTTTGCTACTCAATGAGAATGTGTTTACTCCTAGAGACAAATATGGCACTGGAGCATGCCTCACGGAGAGGAGCATGCCTCACGGAGAGGAGCATGC